ATATACTAAAGCAAGATGGATATCAGCATGCTGTTTGAATTACTAAAATACATTTTTCTTTGTATTTGTGACACCTTAGTCAAAAAGGTTAATGAATATTAATGTTAGTTAATAAGTTAATGTGGAGTAAAAAACCAGCTATGTAATGAAAAAGAGCTAAGCTCAGTTGAATTACCTGTCTGTCGCAGTGAGCTAAGAACATACATATAGATGGCTAACAGGGATCCATTGATGGCAATAATTTGCTTGTTGACTGTACCCTGAGAGGTGAAGTATGAAAAAAAGGTTAAAAGGTGGATTGCTACACATTAATATGGCTGCTACAGACAGTACAGATACTCTAGTGAACATTGGAGCATGTACATTAATTTCTATGATATTCTAGCAATTGCAGTCAATATCTCATTGTTTTTAAATTGAATCTATTTATTTCTAAGTATTTATTTTGAGACTTCTGTAAAGTCTTACAGAGTAAATGTTAAATCAAAGTAGAAGTTGCTTTTCAAGAAAACTTCCCCTGTCAAAATTATAGGATATACTTAGCAAGTTAGCAGTCTCCTTTAGGACACTCGTAAATGTCAGCTGTAATTGTAACTGTTTTTTCTTTTCAGAGAGACAGAGTTTGTTTGTTTCACAAAATCTCTGCTAACTCTTGGACTTTCAGATTAATGATACATCCATGCTCATAGGAAAACTGTGAAGTGGAAATACTACGCTAAACTTCACCATTTTGGCATGTGCAGTCCCATCTGCGTACTCTGCTATTGCACCATAATAGAAAAGAAGTTGTCCACACACCTTCATTCTGTCTTTTATTCTTGTGCTGAAATATCTTGTTTACCATGGCTAAATAGAAAACTATCACTTTTGTATTTTAACAGGTTCTCAATTCAAGTTGCTGCAACAGCAGAGAATTGCCTTCTTACTTTATACCCATACTTGGCATTGCACCGCTCTGATCAACAAATTATCTTGAGAAGCAGTAAGCAGTCAACATTCTACCTTTATAAAATTATATTATATCCAGTAGTATTATCAATGTTTTCAGTGTGATAATAGGGATGTTACCATCAAGATAGTATTTTTCCTCATTAATTACAAGGGGATACTGCAATTAAATTTTTAAAACAGTTTAATAGCTTCTGCTTTCTTGTTCAAAATGAGGAAAACTTATATAAATGATTAGGTAATGTTTCTTGAAAAATATTGGACAAGCCTAAATCTTACAGAATGTTTTGTGAAGTTTTTAAAGTATGAGTAGAGAAAACGGCCCAAACAATAGAGAATAAATGAACATAATTTAAATTATATTGATAGAGAGTGATCATCAATAATTCCTAGGACAACAGTTGGATACGTTTTGAAGAAAGCCACACAATGTTATGATAAAATGCGATCATTATTTGCTTGTTGGGAATAGTTTTCAGGTTTTTTGAATTACTGTCCTTGAAGGCTGGAGAACACAGTCATATTTTAAGGCCTAATAAAAGCCTGCAATCAGAGACTAGAAATATTTTTATCTGCAGTGTGTCTCTCTGCCCGCCTCCCTCTGCCTGCCTCTCTGTCTCTACATCTCTGCCTGTGTGTGTCCCTCCAGCCCCATCGCTGCCGGCCTCCTGCCCCTCCACTTTCTACCTGCCTCAATGATCTGTAATCTCTTTATGTGTAGCTGTGCTTATGGGAAGAGATTAGGATCGTTGTACAATTCAGGTCAGAAGGGATCTCTGGGGGTCATCTAGTCCAACCTTCTGCTCAAAGCAGGTTCAAATATGGGGTAAATTATTATATTTTTTATGGTTGTTGGGATCTGATATTTTGATGAAATGGACAAGTTTTTCAGGTAAGCAAGTCATTCCTTAGGTCTGAAATAAATTTAGCTTTGAAGACTCTGAATTCTAAGACTGCATTAACTAAAAATAAGTGTGTTACTTGGACTATGTAAGAGAAAAGGGATTTGGTACTTGTGAAGTTTAAAAAGGGATTAGCAAGAAGACATGTAATTTTTTTTTTTTATATAGAAGATAGGTATAGGTACCATATCATTGATGGATCACAGCACAATTAAATGAAGATAGGAAAGGGGGAAGGAAAAGTATGATCTCCTGGAAATGATTTTTTTTTTTTTTTTTTTTTTGTGATCAGTAGATGATTTTTGCCAGCTTGTCTTTTGAAGATGCTTTGTGGGTTTCCCTTGAGGATTAAGCCAAAAATAGACTGATGATTTTATAAGAACTGATCTCCCATTAATAATATTTCTGTCCTGTATTGATTGCTTATTGGTTTGTTCACACTATCAGTTTGTATCAGTTTTGAAGCAAGTCATTACCGCTAAATTCCTTAAGTCTATTTTATGTGGTTTTGTATAGACTATTTTGGTGTGGAATGCTGTTTGATGTGACCAAACCATATGTATACAACGAAGTGGCTTTGAAAGCTATTCAGGAAGGCTTTGCTTCCACATATCTGACACCATGCTCTTGTGTTATTTGCTCCAAACCATACAAATAACAGTGCCAGCAATCAAAAATTAAAGATAATCATACAGAGTTCTTCCTTCTCTTACTGGTGTGTTTACTTCTCTGGAAACTACACTGGGTTCCTCTTCTACTCTTGTTCTGGAGACTGACATCAGAGATAGCTAGCAGAGGGTTCTCTAATACTATCCTAGGCTAACATGAGAATGTTAAAACATATGTTCTGACAGAACGAATGGATTTATAAAGCATACTTTTGAGTTTGGTTTGTAAAATATGTGTTGTTGAGTCTGAAAGAGCTTGATAATGGTATGCTGAGACTCATTACAGAGCTGTGATAAAAAATTCCTTAAGAATATTTTGTTCATGACTTAGAATTCTTGAATTAGCAGTGTTCTGATAGGTGCTTTTCAGCAAGTGTGAAGACCTCATGTATGTAAAACATACAGTTAATGGAAAAAAATATGCAGGTAACTTTTTTTTGTCCCTGGTCTAATGACCAAAGTGAGATTTTCATCATGAGTCAAATGAGAAGTGTTACTTGATTAACTGAAGCACGAAAGAGAAAAATGTAGAAGCAGATATCTGTTTATAAACTGTTAAAGCACAGGCAATAAAATATGTTTTCTCAACTGCAGCTTGTAATCTTGTTTTATAGATAGTAAAGACTGCAGTAGTGGAGAAATTGTTCTGCATCCATGTTGTATTCCACAGTCACTTTCCCATAGTATTTCCTCAAGTTCCTTTGGTGCAACCACTGACTCAACCTATGAAGATTCTCAGTCAGGTATAGTGCAGCTGTTCACTTAAAACACTTCGAGCTCTTACAACTGCTTTTCAGCTTACTGCTTCAAAAAGATAATGTTTCACATTTGTAAGCTTTGCCTGAAATGCTTCTGCACATATAATCGATGAATAATGGGGAGGCTGTCCTCTCTGTGACACCATGGGAAATGTGGCCTAGAGCATAGAAGCAGAAAAAACTCTCCTTCCTTTTCGTAGGCTAAGTGGAAGGGAAATCAGTCAACTATTTAAAAAAAAAAAAGAAAAAAGTCAATGTCCCATCTGCAATAATATGTCCATGGAGGAGCCAGCAGAAAAATAACTACTGAACAAACCTAAGGGGTTAGTTGCTAAGAAGGGCATTGTTTCTGTAGTCATGAACTAACCAACCATAATACACTCTGTAAACATGCTATATTCTGCAAAGGTCTAGTTGTATGCTCAGGTTAGACTTCAGAATTTTTATTGCATTTATGAAGTACGATATAAAAACAACTGTTGTCAGTGGGGCTCAGTTAAGGTGCTGTTCCATATGAACTAAGAGTAATAGATCTTTTGTAAGGTTGTCAGGTGACTAGTATCAGGCTGTTGACATCTCTCTTCTTTCAGCTGCTAGTTTTCTAATTAGGAAGTTAGAACAGCAGAAGTTACTGCTCCTGTTTCATCACTGTTACGATTTCACTTTTGCAGATCTGCTGATGTCTGTGTGATCATTTTCTAAGGTATTCCCAAGACAAATAGGGGTAGTTAAACAGATTAAATAGTAGCTCTTTACCAACATGATTCATTTTTAATGGAATGATGTAAGAAGAGTTCAAAAGAGTAACTCAGTTTCAGATCTGAAAAGGCAGTAACCTCTGGCAAAGGTGGCAGTGACAAGATGGGGAAAGTAATCTTGTCAGCTGGCAGAACTACTCAAACTCAGGCCTGACTGCATGATGATCTTATAAAGGATGAATCTCTTTTCTCCGTATTGTATTGTTTTTTCTTAAATCCTAACAAGTTTGTTTTTTTTTTAATTCACTGTCTAAGGTATTAGCTAGTTTTATTTTTGCATCATTAATTAAACATTAAAACTGCAGCAGTGGTATTAAAATACACCTTCAAGGATGGAATCATCCAAGTTATTTGTGCTATGAAGAAAAGTGTTCTTTGTTTTCTTAGTTATCTTTTATGCAATAATATTGTTGTTGTTAACAGCTAGGAGTTGTTAAAATAGATAATCTTAGTTTTGACCAGGTCAGAATTTAGGAGAGAGAAGGCTTAACAGAGGGTAGAAAAGTCCAAAGGCTTATATATTGGGATGTAGACTTAGTTATACCTCTACAATACCTGACAAACTGTTTGAACACAAGTCAGTTACTGAGCCATGCTATGTGATTGGTATGGGGATCTAGCATTGACTAGCTGGTAAAGCCATATCTACTGAAACTGTATGTAAGACTGTTTCTTTAAGATTGCTGTCTGTGGTTTTGTAAGCCATGCCTGAATTTATTTTTTCTGATTGGGTAATAATTTTTTCTTTAAGTGAAATTAGATTCCAAGAATATAATTTGCTCTATTCCCAAGAATAGAGAGTACATGTCACTTAAATTGTTTATTCCTGAAATAATTTGCTAATTCCGTTGTCTGACAGTTTTTTGTTTTCTGAAAACAATTGTGTTTAAAAAAAAAATTGGTTTTGTACTAGACAAAAAGAGGGAAATAAGGAATCTTTCTGGATTTTTTTTTTTTATCATTCAGAGTCAGATACTACTTTTGAAAGTGAGAGTGATGAAAAGATGAGTGAAGAGAGTGAAGCTGACAGTCAAAGTGATGGGAGAGAAAATAAATGTGAATTATCATTTTTTCCTGATGAAGATGAAGAGGAGTACATCTTCTTTCAGAAAACCCTAACTGCTGTTAAGAATTGGTTCACTCTCTTTGGTTGGTCTAAGGGACAAAATCCTATTTCAGTACCATATTCACTAAGACGGTAGGTAATTCATATCTGCTTAGAGCTAACTTATGTCTGCCTAATAAAATGTTAACATATATACTAAAGTGTTTTGGATATGATCTGAGGAATATAAACGCACTCTAATGCACAGTTGTATATTAAAATTGTAGCATCTATGTGCTGTTTCTATGAAAATGTCATTCAGGTGTTATTCTTAATTTTCTAAAATATATTTCCAACTATGATGCTCTGATATATCATAATGCAGTGTATATTAAATATGCAGTTCAAACTGTATGTCACCCTTGTAACTGAAATTGATTCTCTTCCCAGAATGAACACAGTTCTAGCAATTGTCCCTTCTTTGGTGGCATAAATAAGTGTTTTAACAATATGTCTTTTTTTCCCCTCACATACTCTGAAGATCAAGGAACAGATGGGAAATCAAATTTCATAATCAACAGTCTTGCAAACACCCTGGAAATATATCAGTCTTAGTGGCATCACTTAGTTGATCTTACCTAGCTTGCTACTAAATATGAAGAAGCCAGTCTCCTGGGACACAAACACATAGGCATTTATAAACGTGATAGAAATCAAAGTTGTGCTTGGCAGGAAGCAATGACAAACACAAATTTATTTATGAAATATTTCACATATACTTATTAAATATTCCATGCAGTTCAAAATTCTTACATTATTATGAAAGTTTTGTAAAAAGGAAAAAATGCTATATTTTTCAACCTTCTTGCTGCTGTTTTCACTTAATGGTTTATTAAATGTATCATCATGATATATATAATGTTAGCTCATTTTGTGCATTTAAAAGAATAATAATGGAAGCTTTTTCTCTCTTAGTGATGTGTGTAAAGTTCAAGTGACCTCTTCGCAAGAAAAGGTTTTTAAACAAAACCTTGGCAAAGATACTAAGACTGTTTATGACATGTTATTCCATCTGAGTGGACAGTTGTTACCAGGCATTACATCAAGCCAGTCATTGCCCCTTGATCCAGTTGAACGAATGTTACAGCTCCACTGGCAACATTCTACATTGCTTGCTTTCCTTAAGTAAGTACATGTATGATAAAATATGCATGCATCTTTTCTTTCCACTTTTTTTATTAGCATAGTTCAAACATAATTCCAACTGAACAATATACAGTAGGTTTAGGGTTTCCTTTATACTGTGTCTTTTGTGATCTAAGACTTATGTATTATAAACTTCAATTAATTTTTACCAAGGTTATCCTCTGCAGTTTACACTAATTGAGGTGTCCTTCGGTAGGGTCATATTCAACACAGGAATTTCACAGGAACTCTGCTCCCTTAATTACGAAATAAGATGACTCTCAACCTCATTCCTTAGACAGACTCAGTAGATAGTCAGTTCAGGTTTGTCATTAATGATCTTACTATTCCACTGATGCTCTTTGTCCTGTAATTACTGGCTTTAGCAAAAATTTTGTAGACTAACTTTGTAATCTATTAGTTTTTCATATTAATAATATGCCAAGAAATGGGAGCACTACTCCTGCTGCTGAACAGATTTAGCTATTAGCTACCTTCATTGATAATCTTATCTTCTCACATAATATGGAACAACTGTCAAAGATGGTGCAAATCAAAAAAGGTTAATAAATTCTTCTTCGTCCTTCTTGGCTGTCGCTGCTGTGAAATAGAAGAAAGTTAACTTCAGAGAAAGTCTAATGTCATAAGATCCTTAGAGATCATCAGAAGCCCTGAAACACAGCATCTCTGCTTCTTTTTAGCATCTTCATCTAGTGTTCAAGAGGCTGTAAAGCCATTTAAAAACTGTCATTTACATACTGTTCTAAATACAAGCTTTTCATCTGAGAATAATGGACAGTGATATAACTGTGTCTGAACTCATAATGAGACCAATGCACACCGCTCCAACAGCACTCGACCTTTATTTGCAGCTTTCATCCATGTCATTTTTATCGAAAGGAGGCAGAATAACATTCTTCTGTGCATCATAGATAATATAGTGGCAGATGATTTGGAGGAGCCACTGCAGCAGTGGCACAACAGTATCTTTGCCTTTCTTCAGTAATGAAGAACAATGCTTACAGATTTCTGTTGTCTTCACAACTTCAACATCCATTCTGACACTAAATAAAGGAATCGATGGATACATCCCATCGTATTTTCCCATTGTATCTTAAAGGCTAGAGTCATTAGGCAGTGGACTGCTGAAGAATGTGTTGCCATCGTATCAATTGAAAACTCACTAATACTACCCTGCTGATTCTTCTTCTTCTGGAGTGTTGCGTCCTTCCAGAGAGCAAGACATCGAGTACGTGGCAATATAGAATCATAGAATTATTTAGTTTGGAGAAGACCTTTAAGATCATCGAGTCCAACCGTAAACCTGACCCTGCCAAGTCCACCACTAAACCATGTCCTTAAGTGCCACATCTTCACATCTTTTAAACACCTCCAGGGATGGTGACTCCACCACTTCCCTGGGCAGCCTGTTCCAATGCTTGACCACCCTTTCGGTGCAGAAATTTTTCCTCATGTCCAATCTAAACCTCCCCTGGTGCAACTTGAGGCCATTTCCTCTCATCCTATCATTTGTTACTAGGGAAAAGAGACCAACACCCACCTCGCTACAATCTCCTTTCAGGTAGTTGTAGAGGGCGATAAGGTCTCCCCTCAGCCTCCTTTTCTCCAGGCTAAACAACCCCAGTTCCCTCAGCCGCTCCTCATAAGACTTGTTCTCCAGGCCCTTCACCAGCTTCGTTGCTCTTCTTTGGACATGCTCCAGCACCTCAATATCTTGTAGTGACGGGCCCAAAACTGAACACAGTGTGATATGATGACATGATGCTGAATGGTTGTCTAAGTAGGTTCAAGAGATTTTCTTATTTCTCTAATCAGTATATTGGTATTTTTCTGAGGTCAGAGTGTCAAAAAACTTCTTTGGTTCCAACCCAAGAAAAATCCTTTCTGTTGCCACTGCCTTAGGTCTAGTGTTAAGCGAATACTCTGCACAACTCCTAGCAGAGCAGTCAAGAATAACTTCAAGACATGCTTCCTCTTTTGAACCCTGTTACCCTTTTCATTAATCCTTGTATAGGCAGCTGAATTGATTCCACTCAGTTCCTATCGAGAGACACAAGTATTTAATGACTTTTCAAGGGTGGAGCTGATGTGCCTTTCAGAGCCTTTCACCCTTCCGTGTGGGATTTTACAGCCCTAACTCAAATTAATATAGACTTTAATTTTGGTCTTTTAGGACTGATATTTCTTCTGTCTAGCTTCAAATGTTTTAATATCTCTTCTGTAATTCATTGTTTGATGGATGAGGTCAGTACGAAGGAACCAAAATAACATCATTTCTCATTGGATGACAGTGATACCTACTGTCAGTCATTCTCCAAGTCTGAGTGTGCCACCCAATAACTTCAAGTATACCAGAAAGCCTTCTTGGTTGTTATCAGCTCTGGGAAACACTTCTTTCCTTCACCCTGATTGTGTCAAGTGGCTTGGGCAGACAAGGTAAATTCTTAGCACTTTTTGAATTTGGATAGTGGTGCGTATGCTGTGAAGCTGGGAGTATACTTTTTAATATGACCCAGTTTACTGAGTCATTGCACCTGACAGAGAGCGAATGTCTCTATACCTTATTTATCTCAAGTTTGTTTGTTGTAAAATGCAAATAAAAACATTTATTCATAACATTGAAAATGAACAACACAAGTGGAAATATTTCTTCAAGATATAGGTGAAGAAATGAAAGAATGTCATCAATCTACTTAAATTTAAGTTGTACCAGAAAGGTCTTTCAAAATACCTTATTTTGTTTATATTCTGGCAGCTTCTGGCAAGGAGGCAGGCAGGTTTCTGTCCTTTTGCATACCTTATGCTTGAAGTTACCCCTAACAAAGTCTGTTCAGGAGATTCCATCAAAATATTCATTCACAGAAGTTTCCTTGAAGAGTTTTCATGGGATACTTTTGGAGCACTCCTAGACAGGGTCAGCATTTTTTCCTAGTGGAGCCTGATGGCTGTTATGTCCAGTCTTCCCACTGATATTTTCCAGGGAATCTAGGTGTCTTGAAACTAGCATACATGATGTTAGTTGCATACTTGAAAATGATGATGAGTTTTGGGGTAAGTGGATCCTAACCCCTTTTGCTAAGCATAACAGCAATTGGAAAGAGATACTTAAGTGTTTCTAAAGTAGTTTCTTGGGCAATTTGGAAAGCTATTTAGCAGCTAAATTTTAATAAAAGCCTTCAGTCCTACTGAGTTTTGTCTGTTAACTCACTGATTTACTCAGAGCAGAATTGGAGCAGCAGCCAGTTGGTCAAGGCTAAGTTCAGTGCCTCTGTGCACAGATACATTGATGACTGATGATTGGAAATGTAGTAATCCATAACAACCCTAGGAAAACAATACAGGTTGCCATAGAAAAGCGGTTCTAGCTGGACTCCTGTGCTTATGCGTTTTTGATGCTAGATGATTAAACCGGTGCTCAGTATGCACTTAGCAGTACCACATCCTGTTAGTTTCTGCCTCTTCTAGTTTGTGTGAATCCTATCAGATTTCTTCATTGTTCCTGACTTACGGATATTCTTTTCCTACTTGTGCATTTTAGGATCACCTAGAATATTTGCATTTCTTCACAGGTTATTATTTAAGAGTGTTTATAGATCATAGTACAAAAATGTCTGATATCTGCACTGCTGGCATGACTATATGTAATGATGGCAAGATATCCAGAGCCAGCCTAGGTATGAGTAGTTCATCTGTGATCTGCTATCCCTGCATGTTCATTGTGATTTGTGGAAAGTGCAAATTCCCTCCTGAAGAAGCCCAGGAGAGCGCTCTGAGAACAGAAATGTACAGTTCTCAGCTTTCTTCCCCCAACCACTACTTTCTGGTCAGCATGGTTCAAAGAAAGCATAATTCATCTTTCAAATTTTCCACTTAGAATCATAGAATCATTAAGGTTGGAAGAGACCTCCAAGATCGAGTCCAACCGTCAACCCAACACCACCATGTCCACTAAACCATGTCCCCAAGTGCCTCATCTACACGTCTTTTAAATACCTCCAGGGATGGTGACTCAACCACTTCCCTGGGCAGCCTCTTCCAATGTTTAACCACTCTTTCAGTAAAGAAATTTTTCCTCACGTCCAATCTAACCCTCCCCTGGCGCAACTTGAGGCCATTTCCTCTCGTCCTATCGCTTGTTACTTGGGAGAAGAGACCGACACCCACCTCGTTTCTTGGTAACTTGCTAAAACAGGTGGATGTTGTTCGCTGTTTCAAGCAACATTCCAAGTATCAGTTTTATTTTCCTCGCCTCAAAAGGTTTCCTTGGTATGTTACCACAGCAGTAAAGGAAAAGTTTGGGTATTTTACAATACAACTAAGTAATTTGTTGCAAGCTGTGTGTCTTGAGGAAAAACATCTTAACAGTGTGAAAATACTGATCTTGGAGAACTGGCATCGTGTTAAATATCAACCTTAATGAGGAGGAATTTTTTTAAGACAGTGTTCCTCAATAACAAAATGCAGCCAATTATGAGAACATTCAGTTATATAGAACCCATCTTTACTATGATGACATGTAGCGTTGTTATATAGCTTTTCTGAGGATGAAAATTGTAGATTACACCTATTCCCATGTATCTACCAAGTAAAACCATTGAAAGAAAGGTAGGGTACCTGAAAAGATGAATGTTTTATAGTTTCCTTCTTTTATTGTTTTGGAAAATCTGAAGTTTTAAAGGGATTTAATGGGACAGAGTCTATGACTTAATGGAAAATGGGAATTTCAGACATGGTGAGTTTTAGAACCAGACTACTAACTTGATGCTATTTTGGGTCTTTGATTAAAATATTTGTGTTTTAAAAAACATGCTAGATAATTGTATGAAACATGAAATTTCAATAATCTGAGAAGATAATGTCACTACGTAAAATATGGAGACAAAAAATGTGCTGTTACCAGCAAAATATAGTTCTGTGGGAAGACAAGTAAGTTGCCATGATCCTAATTTCAAACTATGATGTATGACTTTTAGTGTACAAAGTAAATTGAATTTGGACTGTATGGTACTGGAAAAGTATGATCACTTCATTTGAATGAGAGACTGGTTATATAATAAGAAAAGCTCATCTGATTATTACTCACATTAGCCATGTTAAAAACACAGAGAACAATGTAAATCTAGATATGCTAGGATAATCTTTCTGACCTAAAAGTCAGGAAACTTTGCTGTTCCCCTGAGAAAAATGAACTTAAGAATTATTCATTATTTTCCCCTCTTTCCAGCAACATTTTTTAAACTGTGTTGTTTGAGATAAAGAATAGTCTTTCTTTACTTGGAAGTTAGCTTTTTCTGGTATTCAGTTTAATGAATTTGCCTTTTGTTACTGCAATTACTTTTCTTATTGCATTTATTGTTAGTCACCTGAGAGCGGCTGGCAGGTCGTTTAACAATTGACAGAGTTTTGAAATACCTTTGCTTACACCCATAAGACTTCCAATATCAGACCTGCAGACAGATAATAGCATTGTCAAGTTTTAATTCTACTAATGTTATGTAACACTGGTCCTTTGGCTTTCACATGGAAATGGGTATTATGTGTTTTGATGCTTTGTTCTATAATAAACCCTTTATGGAGGAGCAATTCTCATAAAGAAACCAGGCTGTTCAGAGTTGTATGTGTTTTTAGCATTTAGTTGTAGGCACAGGAATTGAACATTAACTTCATAAAGAGAAGCTATCTAAAGCAATTAATAGAACTGGATCATTAGTCCAAAGCGTACTCAGATAGAACTCAGAGGAGCTTACCCATAGGTTGAGCAAGTTGAAAAACTTGGACTGCTCTTAAAAAGAACTATCTTGCTTACCTATTAACTTTTCCGGCTTTATGATTTCAGAAGCCAAGGAGCATGTCTTTCTCATGTTATGCCAGAATTTCTGCTTGAACCTGATGATTATAAGAAATGGATTAAAGTGCAAAGTGAACTGAAGGTACGTTTGGGGTTTTTTTTGTGTGTTCGTTTTGTTTCATTTTTTCTTCTCTCTCTTTTTTTTTTTTTTTTTAAACAAAGACCACATGCTTAGTGTCAGTCCTTTGAAGACTAATGGAAGTCCTCTGTGGACCATTAGTATTCCTACTGTGGTGACTGTTTTGGATTGCATAAATCTAAGCATGTGCGTGAGAGAGAACAGAAATTTAAACTGACACCAACATTTACACCCTCCTCCCCTGTTTTTTTCTTTTCCATTCCTTTCGATACTGCTGATACCTGTGTTTAATTTCCAACAGATATGTTTTCTCAAACTAGAATTAATTTTACTGCTTTCTACCGATTTTACCATTTTAAAAAAAATATCCTATGTGTTGCCTTTCTGTCCTGATCGTTGCTTTCAACTCCTGTCAATTCTGTATTGTGCTTCTTATTCCTGAGATAGCAGCAAACTGTAAATGGTTCTAATGCTGATCACTATTGCACTATAGTAGATGTTATCAGTCATTTATGCCATTGAGTCATTATTGTCGTCTTGTGAGTTTTCTATCCAAACTGCTGAACTGAATATCGAAAATAAATCCTGTTCCTTTTATCTGAAGGGTCAGACAGCTGACTTGAAAAAAGGAGATGTGAAAAACTCAGACATGTTTAGCAGCAAGCATCTATTCATTCTGGAGGACAGCATATTTGAGACAATGAGCAAACGAGCTTGGACAGATGTGCTACTGCAGGTATACAAGGTAAATTGTAGATACATTTACTACTTAAATTCTGAAGAACTGATGGCAAAAAACTTTGTTTTGAAGATCATCTGTGGTATATTCAAGTTTTTTTTTTCCCAAGCAGATCTTTAAAGCTAAATACTTTTAAGTATTTTATTTCTCTCTAACAGAGAAGGAAAAAAAAAAATGAAAGAAGATTTTAATTTTCTTAGTTGTGAAACTTTAGCAGTGTTTATATGTTTCAATTATGTTAGAACAATCTGCGTTTGTAGGATTAAATGTTACAGAAATCTTTTCTTACAAATAAAGAAAACTCTTCCATGCTTTTTTGTTACCCTGGTTAGAAGCACTTTTCACTGGAAATCCTTAGTTGACTAGACGTACACCCAACCATGGTATTTATTATCTGATATTAGAATGGAATTTTTAAACAGGTAAGCATTTTTATAATACCTATTCCTTTTAAGATATAATGAACTTGGTCAGTATGGACTTCTCAAATTTTATTAAATTTTATTTTTAATGATATTAGAGAAACATTTTGGATGTCTAAATCATGTTTTCCACTGTAAATCTGATGTGCTCACCAATGATCAGTAATGTTTGTATGCCTAAAAATAAATATTTACTTATTTCTATTCAAAGGGATGGAAAATAAATGAAAAATATAAATATTATCTGGGCTTCCCAGTACAAGAAAGACATGGACATACTGGAGGGTGACTCCAGTGAAGGGTCCCAAAGATGTTTTAGGAGACCGGAGCATCTGTCATACAGGGAGAGACACAGAGAGCCGAGACTGTTCAGCCAGGAGAAGAGAAGGTTCATGGGGGAGCTTAGCAATGTGTGTAAATACCTGATGGGAGGGTGTGAAGAAGACAGTGCCAGACTCTTCTCGGTGGTGCCCAGTGACATGGTGAGAGGCAGTAGGCACAAACTAAAATACAGGAAATCCCATTTAAACATAAGCAACTTTTTTACTGTGAGGGTGGTTACACACTGGAACAGGTTGCCCAGAGGAGTTGTGGAGTTTCCATCCTTGGAGATATCCAAAACCCAACTGAACATGATCCTTTCAACCCACTCTAGCTGATTCTGCTTTGAGCAGGAGGTTTGGACTAGTCAATCTCCAGAGATGCCTTCTAACCTTAACTATTCAGTGATTATTTACTGAAAAAGCATAATAAAGAATGATAAAAGTTATGTTAAAAAACATATGTAACAAAGATATAGAGTTGATCTACAATAAAAAAATGAGAAGAATAGCTGAGAGAGTAACAGACAACAAACAGTATGTATGCAAGGGCTGAGACAGATGACCTTAAGGATTCATGGGAACATGGATGTGGAAAAATGCAATCATAGTGACCAGAAAGCGAGTCACTTTGTTATTTTTTCAATTTGCTGAATTATTCATAGCTACATGACAGACTAGCACAGAGCAGAAAAACCCCAAAATTGATAGTATCCATGTGTGTTGTTTTGGTTTGGTTTTGATTTTTTTTTTTTTTTTTCCCTAATGAGATGAAACTCTGAAAAATAGGTAACTTGAAATGGCTTGATTCAATCAGGTATTGTACTGGATTTACGTGGCAAGGTTTTGGTAACAAGGGGCTACAGGGGTGGCTTCTGTGTGAAGATGCCAGAAGCTGCCCTCATGTCTGACAGAGCCAATGCCAGCTGGCTCCAAGATGGACCCACCACTGGCCAAGGCTGAGCCCATCAGCGACGGTGGTAGCGCCTCTGTGACAACATATTTAAGAAGGGGAAAAAACTGCTGCACAACAGCAGCCAGAGAGAGGAGTGAGAATATGTGAGAGAAACAACT